TTTGGTATTAGTTAGCAGGATACTCTTGATAAATGCCTATTTTTTTTTTTTTTTTTTTTTTTTTTTTTTTGCTGCTGTTCTTTTTATCTGGAAATCTCTGGCTTTCTCTGTGAATCCTATGCCTGGGTACACCTTGTACAGTTTCCATATGAGGAATGATGATCCCTTGGCTCACTCTCAGAAATGGAAGAACAGCTGGGAGAAAAGACAAGCTGTCCTGACACTTGCATGGCTGTGTCCACTATCACAGAATACTGAGCTCCAGGGCTAGGTTTCCTGACATTGTGACCCCCTTTCTGTCACCTCTTCCAAATCTAACCCAGATGATACTTTGTGTTTCCCATGTTCATGTTCTATGAAAAATTGACTTGTTAAACTATCTCATCTCTCTCTATTCTGGTAGTATTTCTGGCACATAGTATCATTTAATAACTTTAAATGATTGACTCTCATCTTTTGAAGTGTTCAAGGGTCATTTTATTTTTCTCCTCTTGCTTTCCCAAATCTAGATAGTAATCTGTTCCTCCTTGTCCCATTGTACTGCCATCTAAGCTCCTATTTTATGCTCATATGATCCTTTTGAGATTGCTACACAAGACATACTGCCACTTTTTTGTTTTGGATGCAAAGTTTAAAATTATATAATAAATAATTCTATTTGCATATACTTGTAAGAATCTATTTCATTGATGGATATAACATTTATATTGTGACCATTAGAGTATGTGTCTATTTTCATTTAAATCCTATTGTGGTTGCAAATAGAATACAAATGTAATTCTAAGATTGACAGTTATTTCACAATCTACTCACCTTGAGCAAGGCAAGACCCTCTCAACAAGAAACTAGTAATTAATCTGTGGAGAAAAACTGYCTGTCTCTTCCTCCTGCTACAAAGGATGCTTCACAGGCCTGTCAGTGCAACATGGTAGTGTTGATGATTTTCTAAAATTGTATTACATATGAATGATGACTTATCAAATTTTTAATATTTGGTACACTGACAGATTTTTTTCCTCTCTGTGTTAAAACCATACTATTTTGGTTACTGTAGCTTTATAATAAGTCTTGAAATAATGTGATGTGAGTCCTCTTACTTTGTTATTCTTTTGGGGGGATTGATTTAATTCTTCTTGTTCCTTTGTTTTTATATATAAATTTTAGAGTTAGCTTGCAAACGTATGAAAGGTACAASTTGGAGTCTGGACTGGTATTGCAATATATCTACAACTAAATTTTGGGAAATAAATAATGCATTAAAATCATAATGTATGCAACTAGACCTGTTTTGCAGGAATTCTGTTGGTTTTTACTGTTCCTCTGTTTTCTTTATGATGTTAGCAACAAAGCAGTTTAGTCTTGTCAGGGAAAAAAATACAAGTTTGATTTTTGAGGAAAATGATGAATTTTAATATCAAGTACAAGGAAATATATGCTAAATATATATTTCACTAAATATATATTCAAAAATATATATTTCACTTGCTGAGGATGTTCAATTTACGTATCTTGCATGTTATGAGATTTTTCAACTATACCATGCAAGTATCCATAAGTAGAACTTATTTATTTGGAGTTAAATTAGACAACAAAGGTTTGTCAGTGGGATTTTATAAGAAAGAATCAGTATTTATCAGTATATATATATAACCAACTATGTTGGTTTCAAAGTAGTTTATTATGTTAAAAATAAGGTGAAATCAATTCTTGATAATATTCAAGGCATACAATATGTGTAGTTGACAAAATTACTTTTTTATTACAACTAACTTTAATTTTCCAAGATTATCTGTTAATAAACTATATAGTTAAATAAATATATTTTCTTTAATGAGATAAAACCACTATCATTACTTTCTTTATAATTTGTCTATAAATATGTATATACGTATCAGAATGCTTAGTAAGTGAAGGCACAGTCACATGAAAAAATAGTGTAAATTATTTAAACATAAACATAGTTCATGACTCAGAATGTACCCATGTGGTTAAAAAAGCATGATATCAACACTTGGTGACAGGATGGAATATAAGTTGATTCATTTTTCTTGGCTGCAAACATACAATTGACCATTTCTTTGTGGAACTCCTTCACCTTCAATTTGATKTAATTTTTCTGTAAACCTAAAACTTTGAAAATAAAGTAAAATTTACTGAATTTTAAAATGCTGTATTTGAAAAGTGAGAGTTCCCCAAATTCCCTATCATACTTTTCCCTTGGTAAAATCTCAAAACATCATATAAATAACTTATTAAAGTAAATTTAAATAGCCTCAAAGTATGGCTTTGTCAGAAGAGAGGTTTGTGTTCTAGCAGAGTAATCCCAACAGAAACTTCCCTATTTCTACATCATTATAATTAGGACATAAATATTGAACTGGTGAAAATTTGCAGATACATTGCTCAGAGACTCGGTCAGGCATGGAAAATTATCAGATGCAGTTCAGATCTGGAAAATACCATTTCCACAATTGTGAAAGACACTGATCTAGTGAGCTGAGCCATACTTTAACTGATGTGTCTGAGTATGAAGGTTGTCACTCAGCATGCAAAATTCTCTAGAGTCTTCTTTCCAAGAGGTTATTCCCTGGGGTATTATGATAAATATCATTGTGCAATACAGATGAATATATATACTTATCTCCCTGGATTCTTACAAGCTAGGTTTGACTGTTTTTCCTAAAATTTATGAATATCATTGTAGGGCATTAAGAAAAAAAATCAAGATCTACTTGTTTATGTTTCTAATGATTTAGAAATCATGCATCTAGAAGGTAAATTAGAGCAGCTCAGTAGTTAAAAGTGTGGATTCTTTAGTTAGCATGTCTGAATTTAAAAGTAGGTGTTATGTACTGTGACATGACATTCGAAAAGTTAATCCTTCAATGCTTGAGTTTCTGTTTATGTAAAATTGGAATAATAATGATAAATTCATMGTAATGATAAAATAGAGGAGTTGTAACCTTCAAATTAGAAAGTAAATATAATGTTCATAGAAAATCTTTTTTTTCAGGAAAATGTAAGTATTGATAAATATTTTGAATTATTGTTATTATGTACTATTTCTGCTGTATTTTCAACACCTACACTGATACATGATCTATCTTCTACTTAAGTGTGCTGAAGAACATCATGCTGAGTAAAATAAGCCAGATGCAAAAAGCCAAGTGTTTGATGTTTTCTCTCATATGCAAAAACTAGATATAAAAAGGTGATGTCATGAAATACAAGAATTATAGGGTAAGGGGAGGATCAACATCATAAAATTGACTAAATGATGTTATGTGCATTTATATCACAATGAATCCCATTTTAATGTATAATTATAATACATCATCTTTTTTAAAAATTAGGTAAAAACAAGAAAACCGGTAGAGTAGAGAAAAGGGATTAGGGGAGGGAGGAGAGGAGGAAAAGGGTAAGTACTAGGGAATAAAACAGAGTAAATTATGTTATGTGCATGTAAAAATATGTCACAGTGAACATCACTGTTAAGTATAGCTGCAATGCACTAGTAAACACAGTAAATAAATAAATAAATAAATATGCTGATATTGAAATATCTGRTGCTGCTAAGACACACATATGCTAATGAAATAAATTATCAGTCTTAAGTGACAAATAAAATTGTGGTTATAACTCATTATTTTTAAAAAGAACCATTTAAAAGAATCTCTCTTAGTGTTTTCATTAAAAACTATGTCTATGCCATGTGTTTGTACTTGAGCCCTTGGATCTGGAATTTTCTATTTCCTTCCTGAACCGAATAAAGGCAGGGGGAGACAGAAACGGAAAGTATATAAAGTGTAAGGGGTAATAGACGAAATATAGAATATGTGTTGATAGTGTGATCATGTACCCTACTTCCTTGTTAAAGGCAAAGATTATCGTAAAAGGAAAATTGCAATTAATGTAGAGGGTTTTTTGAGATAGGGTCTCACTAAATTTGATAGAAAAATGAATAATTTAATATTTGACATATATTATAGAATGTGTATTTGTATTTTAAAATATCATTTGGTGTTCTAAAAATAAGAATAATAGCTAAGAAAAATTACAGTTTGTTCTAGCTCTTTTGTTGGTGGGTATACAAAAGACAGTCTTTGAATCTTTTCTACTTTGTGGAACGCTCTTTCAAAGCTAGATATTGAGCAATTATGGGCCTTGACATTTTTTCAAAGATTTTCTTATTTTAAATAATGACATATTATACTCTTAATTTTTATTTGTCTTCACAACTCCATGTCATGGTCTTTGTGATTGGCACATATTTTTGTTTGGGGCATTATAGCTGTACATAATGGTGAGATTCATTGTTACCTACTTGTACATGAACACAATATAACAATATACTTTGGCCAATATTGTTCCCAGGTATTTCTACTTTCCCTCCCCTCATTCTTCCCTTGGTCCCTTTCCTCTACTCTCCTGATCTCCCTTTGATTTTCATAAGTACCTCCATCATACACATCTTTCTTTTCCTTTTTCCTCTCTAGCYTCTGTGAGAAAACAAATGACCATTGACTTCTGGGTTTGGCTTATGTTACTTAACATAACATTCTCACATTCCATTCATTTTCCTGAAAATGACGTAATTTCATTTTTCTTTGTAGCTGAATAAAACTCCATTGTGCATATGTCACATTTTCTTTATTCATTCATCCATTGACACATACCTAGGCTGGTATAATTTGGCTAATGTGAACTGTGATGCTATAAACAGGAGTATGCATATGTCACTATAGTATGATGACTTTAATTCTTGAGGATAAATACCTAGAAGTGGCAAGGCTGGGTCATGTCATATGGTGATTTCATTTCTAGTCTTTTGAGGAAACTCCATATTGATTTCCATAGTGCTTGTACTAATTTACAGTCCCACCAACACTGTAAAAGTGTTCTGGTAGTTCCACATCCTTTTCACTATTCACTAAAGTTGGTATTCTCAATGTCAGCCATCCTAACTGGTTACATGGTTATATTATAACTTATCTCAGACCATGTTATTCATGGTCCTCACTTCTTCCACCACTTTGTGCCAAAAGTAATAGAACTTGAATAGTATTAATAAATTTTCTACTTTTGTTTATTTGGGGTATTTTCTGTTTTTCTTTTCATAGACTTTGGTCATTTCTTGGTATCAAAGCGCAACTATACATCCACTCAATTCACTTCCTTTCTGCTGACTGGTGTCCCTGGATTAGAAGACTTTCAAATTTGGATCTCCATCCCTTTCAGCTTCATGTACCTCTTGGCTGTGATAGGCAATGGCCTAGTTATTGCAGTGGTGGCCCGTGACAGGAGCCTCCATGAACCCATGTATCTTTTCCTGACCATGCTGGCACTCAATGATGTCCTCCTTTGTACTGTCACAGTGCCTAAAATGCTTCTCATCTTCTGGCAAGGCCCCTCCCTGTCAACATTTGCTGCCTGCCTCACACAAATGTTCTTGGTTCATGCTCTGTTCCTCTCTGAATCTGCCATTTTACTGGCCATGGCTTTTGATCGTTATGTGGCTATCTGTGCACCACTCCATTATGCAACTCTGCTTACAGGTTCTCTCATTGGCAAGGTGGGTCTGGCTCTGGTGGCTCGGAGTGTGGTTGTTGTCATCCCCGGTGTCCTCCTCATTCTCCGGCTACATTTCTGCAGGACCAATGTTATTCACCATACATACTGTGAGAACATGGGCATTGCCAAATTGGCCTGCAATAGCTTTACCCTTAATAGCATTTATGGACTCACWGCAGCTCTTCTTACAACAGGGCTGGACTGTATCCTTATCTCCCTCTCCTACTGGCTAATCTTGAGAACAGTCTTTCAACTGCCTTCAAGGGAAGCTCGGAAAAAGGCCTTTGGAACCTGTGGAGCTCATATATGTGTCATCCTGATATTCTATACTCTGGCTTTCTTTTCCTTCTTTACCCATCGCTTTGGGCACCATGTGCCCAGGCATGCCCTTATCCTCCTGGCAAACCTCTATCTATTGGTGCCACCTACCATGAACCCCATTGTTTATGGGGTAAARACCAAAGAGATAAGGATACGAGTACTGGCACTTGGTACCTAACCAAATTGATGTAAGAGTAATGAAACGAGGATTGGGGGACTCTAGAATGGATAATCAAACTTAAATATAAAATCTGAATCAATCAGGACATATCTATCCTAGATCACCTAAATATTGGTTAGAGCCTAAAATATTCATATTTACAAATGCTATCTTTCTAAGATGGAGTAAGTAAAAAGTTTACAGGGAATTTAGACACCATCAAGGAATATATCAATAAATTAAGGAAATAAGAAGAATGTCAGAATAACAGAGTAGGGGAATTAAATACCACKTTTGCAGTACATATGCTTCTTCTCTATTTTCCGTGAATAAGATAAAGTGAAAACTCCATGAAGTAAGGATTACTTCTGATCTAAGTTTCCCTATTATATTAACAATACCCAGAATATAAAAGTAATTTAATAAACAGTTGCAGAGTAGATAAACATCTCAATTAATCAAATAATAAATACATAAATAGAAAATTTCCTGGTAGACCCTCTTGAATAGGACCTGCATGTAAAATTCTTCTTTTTATTTTCTCTCTAAAAACATTCTTTTAATTTCCATAAAATATATATTTCTTATCTCCTTTGGTAAAATAAATATTTGTAACATTATTCAACAATACGAGAAAACAAATTTCTCCTAGTTGTAAATTCATATCCAAATGAGATATATCCTCAATCATACTATTGGAATTCTAAGCAGAAACAGGCAGGCTTCCCATATTAGAAGCATTGCTTACGAGAGGACTGGGCACCAGCCTTCAGTAAGTTCTCAATGGCAAGATAAAATTTCTGACCTTAATCCACAATGCTATGACATGACCATCTACTTCTTTATTTAATCATATGTATTCAATCACTCTTCTCTTCACCAAATGTATTTTGCTAGGAATTATTATCTTAATTTTGACAATATATATTTTTAAATGCTTTTGTTGAGAAAAATTTCATGAACATAAATTCTAACACCAAATTATAATACTTACCACAGAAGATGGTAATTTACAAATCCCCAAATTTTGATAATCAATGTAAATATCCATGCTAAAAGAGTTTTACTTGCATGTAAATTTAAAAATATAGACTCTGAGATTTTAAATGTATTTTTTCTTTTTTATTAAATTATTTATTTATTCTAATTAGTTATATGTGATGTCAGAATGCAATTCATTTCATATTATATAGAGAGAGCACAATTTTTCAAGTCTCTGGTTGTACACAAAGTATTTTCACACCATTTGTGTCTTCACATTTGTACTTAGGTTAATGATATTCAACTCATTCCACAGTCTTTCCTATCCCGGTGCCCTTTCCCTCCCCTTTGCCCTATCTGAAGTTCCTCCATTCCTCCCATGCYCCCCCATTCCCATTATGAGTTAAACATCCTCATATCAAAGAAAACATTTGACTTTTGGTTTTGGGGGATTGACATACTTCACTTAGCATTATATTCTTCAACTCCAGMCATTTATCTACAAATGCCATGATCTTATTCTCTTTTAATGCTGAGTAATATTCAACTGTGTATATATACCAAAGTTTCCCTATCCATTCTTAAATATATTTTTTCAACAAAAAGATAAATAGTATATTTTGAATCATAGTCACTAAGAAAAGTATGTTTAATATTCAGAAATGTAAAATGTAGTTTGCATTTTAAAGTCTTATTTCAAAGATGATTATATATAATTGAATATTACTTGTATGAATGATAATACTGTTCAGTTTCTCAAAATTTTCTTAAATTAATTTTGAATTATTTATTTATCATATCAAGAGAATCATCTCACTCTGATGTTTCTATTTCTTTCATTATTCTTAGTTGGTATTTTTTTGGTCAAGATGAATGTGCTGAAAGAATGTGGTAATGAGATGTAAATTCAGGAAAGGGGTAAATAAATACTATTGGGAACAGACATGGTTGAATCAAAATCAGGGAACAAACAAAAGTTCATGGATTTTCCAGGAATGCTTTATGTACTTGTAATTTGCAATACTAATTACACATTTCTAAGATCAATTTTATTGTATGAAATGAGACTTCATATCAGCTCCAGAATTTTAAAAAATACATATACATACAAGTCCTTCTTTGTTCAATGATTGGTTTATTTCTTAATATTTATGCACCCAGTAATTGCTAAGTACCTCTTTTACACCAAGTATAGTCCAATTCTTATAGATCCTGTGTAATTGTAGTTAGAATAAAATACATATATTAAGACCAACATCAATATTAGAAGTAATAAAATAAAACATGCCAAAAGTCTTCCTTTCCTTCTTGGTTTATTTTACTCCTTCAGCCAYTGTACACATGTGAATTAAGACAATTCAATTAACTTTGCAAGWATTATAATACAATCTTATACACAAGCATGTCTGGTCTATTATAGAGATATAAGAAAACAGTTTTCTGTTTTGAAAAGAGATCTGGGTAAAACTTGTCTAGAATTTTGTGTTTCTTGCTACCACACACTTGTAAATAGTTATACCTCACTGCATTATCTTTTTATATTTAAAAGTGTAATTTAACCTAAATTATTATTAAAATACAGTATAACAATGGTTTATAGTTAGTAATTTCAAATGATACAGCCTGGGAGCTTTAAAAATTTCTAAGTCTAATATTTCTACAAGATTAAAGTTATTATCACAAAATTAGATAAAATAAACATGGGAGATGCCCTTTGTTTTCCTGAAGAAATCAAATTTTCCCAGATAAGGAAGATCATACATATCAATGTTTAAAAGATGATTCTGATACACTATGATGGTTGATAACTTCTGCTTTGATCCAAAATATATTTTTGGATCAAGATGTTAACATCTGTAAGAAAGAAAATAAACATATATACAAAAACAATAATATAACAGAAAAAGGAAGTATAAAATTTTATGCCAAATGTTATAGAATAATACAAATCAAAGAAATGAGTTTTGAACATTCAAGGAAAATTTCATAGGTAAATCAATACCTTGGGTAAAGGTTAAGATTAAAAATGGAAGATGGGAGGAAATGATTTAAAACACATCCTCTGCAAAATATTCATAATTAAAGGGTTTTTATGAAGCATGTGTTAGGTCAGGCTGACTAATCCTAGTGAATGTCAACTTTCTCTTTTATAGCTCTTTTTTCATGCTTTGTTAGTTTTTCTTTTATACTTTCAGTAGTCTTGTGTTGACAATGTTGGTTCCAACATACCTAGAGCAGATAATTAGCCAGGAGTTCTTATCATTAGTGCTGATGTGATTGTTGCCTTGAGGACATTCTACATTGAAGAAAAGATTTTGTGGGGGAGAATCAAACGGAGGACTCCTTGGCGGATCTGTTTGGTTTTCACACTATAGATGATTGGGTTGAGCACAGGTGGGACCATTAAGTAGATATGCGCCATAAAGATGTGTGTGAAGGGAGAGGAATGTTTGGCAAAACGATGAACAATAGATAAGCCTATCATAGGCACATAGAGAATGAGCACAGCACAGATGTGGGACGCACATGTGTTAAGAGCCTTAAGCCTCCCCTCATGGGATGCAATCCTCAACACTGAGTGAAGGATGAAGACATAAGAAACTAAAATACCCAGAGAGTCCATGCCCCACAGCATGGTAATCACAACCAACCCGTATATGACATTAAACTTGGTGTCAGCACAGGCRAGGCGGATGATGTCCTGGTGCAGACAGTAGGAATGAGAAAGGACATGGGAGTGGCAGAAGGGAAAGAAGGCCARACKGRYSAGGAGTGGAATKAKTRGAAKAGCACTTCTGAGCAGGGCTGCAATTCCAATCTTGGCAATAAGCTTTGGGGTGAGAATAGTAGCATATCGCAGGGGGTGACAGATAGCTACATACCGGTCAAGGGCCATGGCCAAGAGCACCGATGATTCAGTGAAGGAGAAAGTGTGAATCAAAAACATTTGGATGACACAGATATTGAASGGGATCTCCTTGGAAATAGACCACAACACCCTTAAGAGTGATATCATTGTGGGCAGGGACATGCCCATGTCACTGAGGGAGAGCATGGCCAGGAAGTAATACATGGGCTCATGGAGCCTGGGATCTGTCCGGACAATATGCAGGATGATGCAGTTGCCTGTTATTCCAACAAGGTAGAAGAGGCAGAAGGGGATGGAAATCCAGTGGTGGAATTCTTCATAGCCAGGGATCCCTGTGAGAAAGAATGTGGAGGACAGGGTACTGGTGGAGTTTGAGGCTCCCATAGGGCTGACTTTTAAACGACAACCCAATTCCACAGACACTCCAATGGGTAAAGTATTGATAAGACCAGAATCTGCATCATGGAAAACTGAGGAAATAAAAAGAAAGAAAACAAAACTTCAGTCCTTACCTCTAATCACACTTTAATCCATCCCCAAATTTCTGCTTCATTTTTGTCCATATCATTGCCAGTATTCTCAGTTAAGTAAAATATTCACTTTAGAATCCCTAGGACCTTCACTTTTGCCTCCCAAATAAAAAGCCATTCAATATACCCTCTAAATGGTGATGATCTTCCAAAAACAGTTTCCAGACAGAGCAGCATACATGGAAAATTCTATAAAATATTTTAAATTTTATAATGTATTTAGGAGATTTCTTGGCCAGGATGCTTGTAATACATTAGCCATATTTAATGACTGCTGCACTGGTTAACATTAAATTCCTTCATCTGCCTAAATCTGATATTTTCTTTCACAATGTTAGAAAAATAGACAAAGTACATTTACAGAGTTCAAGCAAGTATGAGACAGCATGAATCCTAATCTTTTTCTTAATTAATTAATTAATTTGTTCTAATTTGTTATATATGATTCCTATTCTTATCTACCCACAATGATGAGATTGATGACTCAGTCTAGGCCTCTCCAGACAACTGACTTTAGTATCTCTTTGGTTTTGCCTTGTCATCTCCAAGAGCTAACAAGGACAGTAAGACTCAATGTAAATAATATATAAATTTCAAAGAAAATTTTATAGTAAAATATAAAGTATACAACTTAAAGT